TTTATATCGTATTTTTTCTAACGGGAGCTTATAATTGAAATTTCAATTATATCGTTTCTTTTAGATCCATTTTATTTTTTTTTAATATTTCCAAAAATAAATACTGTTATGGAACATTGCTATTGAATTTTCCCTTTAAGGTCTACATTTTGTTAAAATTTGATTAAATTTTATTTTTCTTAAATATTTCCAAAAATAAATACCATTATGGAACATTGCTATTAAACTTTCCCTTTTAAGGTTTACATTTTGTTAAAATTTGATTAATTACTCTTAAAAGTATACTCTTAAATATGCTTTTAAAAATTGGGATAGAAAGCACGAAGCAGCGCGATCTATAGACAAGTCACGCCACTTTACCGGTGTAAGATGCATAGGCGTAACCCACTAGTCACGCTACTTGTCAGCAGCCCAACTTATGACCTTCATTCGGATTAATGTTGCGTGTTAAATATTATCGTCTCCTGATACTGAAATTAAGCATTCGGAGTGATGAGTTACACCAAACCCGAATGAACGTTTTAAGTCTCGTGGTATACGATAGCAGGCATACATGTGTGTCTAATAAACATACATGTAATAAAGTATACATATACAGAATATAAGCTAATACACATGAATCAAGAAAGGAGTAATTATACATGAAAACATCAGAAGAAAATTAAATTAAAACTTTTTTAATATGAGCTTATGTTTTCAGGAATGTACACTTGACTGTGTCTAAACTTAATGAATCTTGATATAAACTGCTACCACGAATCAGGTTTCTCTGTATTGTATTGACTATTCAAGGATACGTTATAAAATAGAATATTTATGCACAATGAATTTTATTATTTTATAAAAATATTGTTCATTCCGCTAAATACATGATTCTTCCTCGAGTTTAATTTTTTAAATGCTAAACCAAGTAGTTAAATGTACATAGATTGGGGGAATACCCATAAAGTCGATTTTCTCGAAAATAAAACCTTATATATAAAAATGTCATTCTCTATTTTCCTCTCATTTTTCATCTAGACTAATTTTCTGTTTAGTTGTACTGTCAGTTAAGGTACACCTTACATAGTTTATAGATTAATAAATGTAATCTTAGAAAATATTCCAATTATTTTTTTCATTTTTGATTTTGGTTAAATGGGTTTTCATCTATGATTCCGAAACATGTTATGCACGATTAGACACATTTGGACACTAATTTTCATATTATATAAAAAGATTAAAGATTACCTCCATTTCTTTGTTTAAATTGCACATATGAAAAGTTTATATACATATATTATGCAAGTATTATATACTTTAAAATATTTTGTAAGGTAAATTCTGTTTAGCAATAACACGAACACCTTATACAAAAAGCTAACACGTGTATATATATTTCTTATTTTATTTGTTTAGTGCACACCAACGATTTATCCTGCTGACCCTTTCAATCCAGAAGAAGACGCATCTCTTCTTCGAACAGCGATGAAGGGCTTTGGCACCGATGAACAGACGATAATCGACGTCCTTGCTCATCGTGGGATCGTCCAGCGGCTTGAGATAGCTGATAAATTTAAAACTATGTACGGGAAGGATCTCATTTCTGAATTAAAATCAGAACTTGGTGGCAACTTTGAGAAGGCAATTTTGGCGCTAATGACACCGTTACCGGAATTCTATGCTAAAGAACTTCATAATGCAATTTCCGGCATGGGTACAGATGAAGGTGCTCTTATCGAGGTGCTAGCTTCTCTTAGTAATTACGGCATCAAGACGATATCCGCCGTCTATAAAGAATGTAAGTCTCTCTGAATGATTCTTCAGATAAGTGCTATCCATGACTGGTAAATTGGCAATTGGGACGAAACATGGATAATAAAGGACTATCTAACATACTTTTAGACTGCTGATAACATATTTTGACATAGTAATGAGATCAAAACGTATTTTTTATTTTATGTTAAATATTAGACTGGCCAGAGAGTAATGTCAGTATTTTTCGCATAAAATAGTAATCAAAATCTTAAATCAAAAAGATTTTTATTGGATAGTATATTGATCATTTTGATTCGTGAAATTCCAATTGTATCAGTGTTAGGAAAGTGCAGTATATAAGTATAATATAGTAATAGTAAAGTGCTTGCGTTAACAAAGTTAATGCATTATTAAATAGCCTCTAAGAATGTGAATGAACCTAGTGCTTTATCAGATAGTTGTAGTAAGACAAAACGTTGTGAATGAATTTGATCTAAAATCAAAGGGTCACTGGTAATGCCAACTAAGCTTTATTTATCTAAAAAGTTAAAATGAATCACGTAGCAAAGTCGTATCACATGAGAACGTTTAATCATAATACGGGGGTTACCGGATGAAGTGATTAGACTCCCAGAGGGATCAATTTTATCTTATCAGCCAATGATTTAAGTACTCAATCTTGGATTGTAGGTGCATTAATAAATATTGGCTGTTTCTCAACACTAGAATTAATATTTATTCATAAAAATAACATAATATACAAGGTGCCCAAAAAAAAAAAGGGTTCAATACTTTAAGGGCATACAGTACTCACTGAGAGAAGTAAAAAATCTCTAATTAACTCTAGTTAATCTTAAAGTGAACATACACAAATATTTTGTTTATTCATTATTCATAAACGATATAGCGGAAATAGAATATATAAAAGCTTAAATTTACTAAACTTGATCCACTGCTAATGAAAAAAAAATTGTTTAAGAAACTTATTGTGAATCAAGAAGAAAATATCAACTGCTTGTAGCTTCTGCAGAATTTCTGAAGATTTAAAAGAGAATTTATGTCTGTTCTCGCTGTATATAAATAATCTTGAATAAATATTAAGTAATCTTGAATAATCTTGACAAAACGAGTAAAAATTAGATGATTTATATAATTCAGTAAATGGGTGAAAAGCGATTAAAAATTTCTACGTTAGCAGACTTTTAATGATCTTAGTCGAGTTATACTCCAATTGCTGACTGTTAAACTTCTTGGGATATTTATTTATATTGGGATAAATAAAATGTTTTCTTCCTTCCAATGAAAGATTTGCAAGAGTGGCAGGAAAGTATTATGGTACTCAAACATTGTTATTTTTAATGGAAGAGTATCTCCGTACTTGACACGTTTTAATCGGCAATTTGATAAACCTCATAAAAAGCATCATGAAACCATTTATAAATTAGCTCAATTGAAATCCTATTATATGTATAATATGATAGTAATAAATACTTGTATTTATAAAACCTAGGATTGCCATACATAACTTTTTCAATGATAATAGTATATAGCATTTATTAAAAATATACAGTAATAGAATGGTAATTATATTTTTTTATTGAATAAAGAATAAATTTCCTAAATGTTTAAATATATTTGTAATTAACATACTTATGTGGTACATGTACAATGAGATATTATTTTGATGTGCAAAAATAATATTCTTATCATTTGCATTCTATTGTATTGTATTATCTCATTGAATGTTTTGGCAGTAGATTAATAATATCTTCTTGACAAAAGTGAATTTAAATACAGTTTTTGTTGGATTATCTTAGCCAAATAAGATATAAAATTGTGCAAAAGAATTTGTAATCCATATTGAATAATTGTCTTTGTATTCATTTACAACCTTTTACATATATTGACATTTTTACTTGTATTAAAATATTTTCCAAAATTTTCATTTTAAATTAGCGCATATATAATCTTTAAAATTAGTTATAATTGGAATTAACAATATTACAAGTGTCTCGTTATTCTATTATTCTAATACTTTTCTTTTTTACATAATAATTTGAACTTTACTGCATAAGATATCTTTAGATTATTTTAGCACATTCAATATAATTTTTATTTACAGGAATTGTACAACAATTCTTAAGTTAACAATTCTTAGTTAACATAATTTTCTCTATTCATATAAGTATCTATAAGGAATCTCATATCCGAATATTATATTATGCAATATAAATTTATTAGTATTAGTAATATCAATATCTTAATGTTATATCGATAAATATAATTTAAATATTTATTTACAGTGTATGACAAAGACCTGGAGGATGATTTGAAGAGTGATACTTCGGGCTACTTTAAGAGACTCCTAGTTTCCCTTTCATGTGTAAGTAAATTTTTAATCTAATATTTAAATAAGTTAATATTTTCAAATTTCGAAAACTATTTTTTATTGTACTTTCATATTCGTTATTATTTCTTAATACCTTGTTTGTTTTGTTTGTTTGAATTGATAATTTATTAAAATTTTGACATTAAAGAAGATCAAATTCAAAAGAATAACTATTGGTATATTATAATACCAAATAATCAATCATGTTTGGTGCTTTTAGGGTAAATAATATATAGAATGTCTTATATAACTGATAAAATAATAATTAAATAATTTATTATTGTTATTATGAAATAATAATATAATTTAATATAATTTATTTATTGTGAAATAATAGAACTAGTGGAGAAATAATGAATCAAAAATGTGAAACAATATTTTTTTTTTTTTTGAGAAATGAGAAAACTCGATTTTGAAGATAATAAATTTCAAGCTACAAATATACAACATAAAATTTAATTTGTAGCAAATAGCAATTGTAAAAAAAGGGAGATAATTTTTCATTTGAAAATTAATAAATATTTAATATTCATTTTTTTTTAAAGATGTATATTTAAAAAATATAGTTCATTTGAACAATTTAAAAATGTTGAAATATTTGCTGGTATGTGTGCAAGTATTGCAAACTCGAGATACCGTATGGTTCTATAGTGTGTTCACTTAAAATAACAGAAAAAAATATCTTTCATATAACTAATTTAAAAAACGGAAGAAAAGATACAACTAGAATATTATTGATTTTTCAATCATTTTTAACTTGAATTTTAACAATTTTTAACAAAAAGTTGTAGCAGACAAAAATTACTTGGTTTCACTTTGTAAAATTTTATGACAGAGTCGAGTACGAGAAACGAGCGAAAGTTTAGTGCAGTTAGCAATCTTTGTATATGTAGGATTGGAACAAGTGGGGCCTTGAAAGAATATTAAAAATGTTTGGGAAATAGGAGGAAAGTAACTGCGTGCAAGGATCGAGTGCGAGAGTTATTTATGCCAGAGTTGAGTGCAATAAATTGAGTGAAAATTGACGAATGCATCCTGAGTGTTTGAAATACCTGGCCCATCGAGATTACATGGGAAATGCGTGATTGAGGAAGAATGCCTGAGTGTGAAAGAAGACAGAGTGTAAGGTTAACCGTTTGAGTCCTAAGCAGCGCGATTGCGCTGTTCAGTTTTCATGTCGAGAAAACCCAGCACATTTCCAGTGTTCTCGACAGCTGATGGTGCGTCACCAACTGTCGAAGTCGAAGCGCTATCGCGCCACTTGGCCATTCATTACCATGATATAAACGAAGCGCTATTGTACTGCTTGGGATTTCTCGACAAAATAGAAGCGCTATCGCGCTGCTTGGGTCTTGTCGTACCCACTTAGAGGCAGCGCGGTCGCGCTGCTTGGGATTACATGACAGTGTTTTTCAAAACCTTCTGGGACTGAAACGATTAACATAGAGGTACGCGAATGCGTGCAGGCTAGTGTTTTAGAGTCAGTCGTAGAAATCAATTTAGAGTCAGTCAGTCTAAAAGTTGTGAGTTGCGAATCGTAGAAACCAGTCTTAGAAGTCAGTTGTAAGAAAGTGATCAGAGTGTGAGAGTAAAAGGTTGAGTAGGGTCGTGGTCACTCAGAACAAGCGTTACTAGTTCCTATTCTATTTTATTCATCGGAAATTCTATCAATAACGCTTATTACGTTTTATTAAGAATTCACAATATTATTCTAATCGATCTTTTCAACTACGATCCTAAATATCTTGATCTAAATCAAAGAAGTCTCGAAATAGCGTAGGTTCATAATAGTCACTTGACATATTCTCTGCTACACCAATTTCGTTAATTTTCTTCATCTGTTAGGGAATTTATGAAAACTAATAGTCTTGCTGTTCACATGTACAATACATGAGCCATTCACTGCATAAATCGATTAACTCCACTTTTTGAAAAATCTTAAATTTAAGTATCAAAGCATTTGGTATAGTCATAACTTTTTATATTTAAGATTTTTCAAAAAGTGGAGTTAATCGATTTGTGCAGTGAATGGCTCACATATAAGATCAATAAATTTGTTACTACCAAGAATAAAGTATAACGTATAATTTAAAAGTAACATAACCTGTACAACGAAGCGATAATTCTTGTTTTAACAAATAATTGCACAGTTTAATACTAGGTTTACGGACGCTATCTGTATACCTATTTTTACGAACACCTGTCAAATTTACAGGTAAAGGAAACCACGTGTCTTTTCTTTTTTTAACGATCAGTTTAGTTTAAAAACAAATACAATATAAACAGTTTTAATATAAGTTAATTAAATCTGTTACTATCGTATAATTGGAGCAACCCATCCGTCAAATTGACGGGTTTCGTAAATCTAGTGTTAAGTTAAGAAAGGAAAGTTGGAAACGATCGGAATGAAATGTTCAGTGGGTCTACGTGGCAAGGAACGTGTTAACGACCGGGACTTGGGAAAAGTTGAGGATGATATTCTACTGATGCATTGACTACCTAAGCAACCGTTAAGAATGAGGTCATCATTAACATAAGCTCATACATATTTTTAATACTTGCTAGGTGTGATGTCAGAGGGGTCTGAGCGACGGGGCCCATAACAAATGAGTTTCATTTAAATAAAAATAATCCCTAGAAATATAAATTTGATATAAATATATATCTTACAGTTTATATAAGCTGATAGTGTATAATTATGTTGCTTTTTAAATTGTTTTTTTTTTTTAAAGAAAATGTCTGATTTCGTTCATGCGTCGAATTGATGCGTGTCTATAGAGATAGGTATAAGAGAAATGTCTGTAAACCTAGTATTAATAAAAATAAACTGACACATATAATTACATTCCCATTTTAATGAAAGAAAACTGATTTTGCCAAAAGCAGCTATACATTTTCAATAATTGCAAACACAACGAATCTGAGATTAGTCATTTTGATCCATTTCGTAATTCTAATATTAAGTGCAAGGGAGAATAATTGATGGAGATCATTGTGGTAATGGTTGACATAGATTTTAATATATATATATTAATGTAAAAATAAATAATGTATGTAAGAAAGAATAAGTGGATCGAGTATGCATGTAATGAACGAAGTGTAGTATAGACTGTGTATATTTATGTAATATATGGAAGAAAAGAAAACAAATGAAATTGTAGTTGGATAAGTCAGTTGCAATTCAGAATTGATTGAGAGTAACCGTGTGTACGAGTATCGTAAGAAAGAGTAAACACAATTAGATATATTTCATCTATAATTTTTACCCTGTGGTATAATATCCACGACTAACAATTGTTGTTTACTCGTTGATATTAGATATGGATTATAGCATCCTAGTAAAACTACACCTGACAATGAATATTAAATTCCTTCTTGCTTTCTGTGAAAGAAATTTGTTCTAACTCAGGTCAATTGCATTTGGTTTTATCTCAAAAGTTGGTTTGCACATAGTATTAGTTATCTATTCTCTATTATGTACTTTTATTACCTAAGCAGACAACAATGATAAATATTATGTATACTGGACTTTTTAAATACTTTCGATTGTGTAGTATAAAATATTTTGAAATAAAAACTAATCAGTTTTTAATCGGTTATCAACTTTAATATACAAAATTCCAGAAACTATTTTTTTTTCCCGATAAGAAATCAAGATGACCTTGATATTTTTACATGACACTGTGTATTTTTGACTTCGCAGGATTATTGACGATGAAAAAACGAATTCAACGAACTATAATCTTCAGATAACCTTGTCTATCTCATATATGATACAATTGTCATTGACCTTGACAATTATACGATGTATAAGATAGTACAGTGTATACTATTAGTTAAAGAGGTTTTAAGTATAAGTAATGGCATTTTAAACCGCTGTTTTAAATAGATTCGAGTGAACTTATTTCGAAAAATAATAGAATCACGTTCTTAACGTTTAATTTAATCCTTTGCACTCGACGATTTCTTCGTTACAGGAAAATAGTAATTCGAAGATTTTCTACCATAAAGTCGACGATATTTTTAAAGCGGTAAATAAGAAATCGTATGCAAATAAAGACGTAGAATTATTTTACTTCGATATTTCACGCATCGTTGGGTAATTGTAAATTTGATATATTAATTAACATCCATCTTTAGAATCTGATTAAATGGCGACTGAGAGACGCCTCTCGAGTGCAAAGGCTTAACATACTGTCAGTTATAGGACATTCTACCTGTAGTACTATGTAGAAATACCATTATTCTTATTGTTATTTTTGTTTAGGATAAAATGTACGATTCATAATACACTGTTGAATTGCTTTACAGGCCAACAGAGATGAAAATCCTGATGTTGATGAAGAAGCTGCAATTCAGGATGCTGAGAAATTACTTGCAGCTGGTGAGGAACAATGGGGAACCGACGAAAGTACTTTTAACGCTATTCTCATTACCAAAAGCTATCCTCAACTTCGAAGAATTTTCTATGAATATGAACGTCTCGCTGGTCATGATTTAGAAGATGCTATTAAGAGAGAATTTTCAGGATCTATTGAAGATGGTTATCTTGCAGTTGGTAAGAAATAGTACAGGAAGATTAAAGTTTATCCTGATTTATAAAATTTAGAGTGTTCGACCGAATGTTTGAATGTACTGTATAATTTCTTTTAATTACTAATTTTTTGAGATTACGTTCCAATGAAGAATAACGTTATTAATGGAGAATTATGCATCATTATTTAATAGCTCATCGTGTCATTATTCATGGTTGGATGTGTATAAATATTTACTTATAATAGTCTACGAAGATACTAATTGTACATTGCCATAAAAGCCAGTGATTACGTATCACCTCTTACGTATCGTCTAATTATACGAGAAATAACCTTGAATAAAGTTTACTTACAGCATCTCAGCATATGGAACATCTTTCACTTCATCATAATTGTACAATATTAATTCTAATCTTTATGCTTTATAACAATTTTTCAATATCTTACACAAGGATTGATTTTAAGCTTTTTATACAACATAGAATAAAAGATAGGGATTGAATTAATTTAATCTTGTATTTATTTACTTCAGTGAAGTGTGCACGAGATAAAACTGCCTATCTTGCGGAAAGACTGTATAAAGCAATGCGTGGATTGGGTACAGATGACACAACATTGATCCGCATAGTCGTAGCTCGATCAGAAATCGATTTAGGAGATATTATGGAATCTTACCAGAAAATGTATGGACAATCTCTTGCAGCTGACATCGATGTAAGTCAAAAATTCTGTATCTTTGCACTAATTACTTAGTACCTTTGTAAAAATGTTTCTGTATTACCTATCTTCCTCCTTTAACATTTATTAGATACCAAATTTTTATTTTATAAAAATATATTTGAATTTATCAAAATTTATCAAGTACATTTAATTACATTAATTGAATTCTATTTATTGATTTAATTTTATTAATTTAATTTTATTAATTAAATTCATATAAATATAAATATCAAGCATTCGTTAGAAATAAAAGTATTACTTTGAAGAATAAAGAATCAACAATCAGAATTGAAAAAAATTGTTTCGTAAAATTAATGATTTCTTTGCAGAAACATTTATACTTAAACTTACTCTCATCAAAGTAATGATGCACAGTACATATATGTCTTAATTTTCCATACATCACATTTTTCTTTAACAATCACCTTGCTGTATCTCGGCTGCCCATAATTTTCCATAAATTTCAGGACGACTGTTCAGGAGACTACAAGAGACTCCTGCTTGCTCTACTTGGATGAAAGCATTTCATGTTCAACAACCCCTTTTGTTTCTAAATTATACTTTAATAAGGGATATTTCTTCGCAACATTCCGCGAATCTTTATAGATGTCTTAACTTTAATTTGTTCTAAATTACATCAATAATTAGCGGTGATTATGGTATTACGTATTTCGTTTTAGTTTGATCTTGTTAATTATTTTACCGTTTATGAGTTTGCTCGTGAAATTATTTCGTTCACATTGAAACAAGTTGCATTAATCTCTGTGAGACCTGTTAAACAAAGATAAACTTGTTTTGTTGGTACTTGTTTTGTTATTTTTCCAAATCATATACTGAAATTTGTTAATTAATGAAACAATTCATATACCAATTAACTAATTTTACTAATTGCGAAGTGCTTCCATAATATGCATGCATACATGTATTGTGAGTCTGTATATAAATACAATATTAATTTTCATTTATTATTAACATTGCTTTTAATTCTTCCCACATTCTGTTTGCATTTACAGAGTGACTGCAGCGAAGAGTTTAAGCGGCTTCTGATAGCAATTTTGAATTAAAGAAAATGGAAAGGAGTGTTCACATTAATTTTCTTTAAGAAAAACAACATGCACATCTCTAACATAGATGTTAATAATATGCACCTCATATAACTGTAATCTTTATATTTGTCTCGTTTGCAATAAATTTGCACGTTCGCAAACGACTTCTTATTTATAATAGATTATACAAGGAAGACACCAGTATCTTTTTTTTTCCAGAATGATTGCACTGCGGAGTGGAAAAGACTTCTGATTGCGATGTTGAATTAAAAATAAACTTTAGTCAATCCAATAAATCTCGTGAAAGCAATACCCATATGTTACCCAAATATGAAGCAACTGATTAAACATTAATTGTATAAGATTGTTGAATAATTTTGAATTTAAGGAATAAATTTTTGTTCGTATTAAAAAGCAAAAGATTTTAATGCAGCCAAATTATCAGTGGATATCAACATTACAATATATATTTATGTAGAACATATTTATGAAACAATTTGCGAAGTTGAATGTATTTTATTCATGAATAGAAATATTTTTTTATGAAATAGCCTATTTATAAAAGATTTTTTTGTTACATACAAATGACTGAATATACTCAAATTTATGTGTTACTTCTTTATAACTATTGTATTTATAAAATTTACTTATAAAATAAGAATTTAAGAAATTATAACAATTTTATAGACAAAAATAAATTAAAAATAAATTATAAATTGCTAATTGCGTATAAATGTTATTATTCAAATGATTAAATATATATTATACATATAAAGTGTACATGTATATATATAGCATAATTATATCTGCACGTATATCTATATACATAATATAATTATACCTACGGTAATATGATCTTAACATTCTAAAAAGTGATATAATGAATTTAATCGTCTTGTTTACATTACGCAATAATTAATTAAAATTTCATTAGCCCACTTATAACAAATAATTATGTTTCAATTAAATACTTCACCCTAGATAAAAAAAAGACGGTATAGAAAATTTATCAGTTGATTTGGTATAATTTGAATAACGCGAAGAAAAATTTTAATTAAATTGAAACAAGGTTGTATTAGAAAGTTATATATTTTACGAAATACAAAATTATCGACATGAATGAAGAACATTCTCCAAACGGAAAGGAATCATTGGACGAAAAAGATATAATTAAAATTAGCAATTCTGTTCTTCAAAGGTTAACATCTGGTAGGTAATCGATAAATCAAATTGTTTATTTAATTTCTAAAAATTTTGTTTCATATTTGGTTGAATTATTTCTTCATATATCATAAACACTTTTTATTCTAAATTATTCAGTTTATTGCCATTTTTTAGAAGAAATTAAGTACTACCGAAAATTTAATTTTACTTTGTTATCGATTTTGACATTTTTTATAAATTTAATTAACTACAAAATTACAAGGAATTTTATTTACCTTTTTCTGTATATAAACAAATAAAGTACACACAAATCAAATTTGTTTAAAATTCTTGTTTATACTACGTGTAAACAATGAAAATATATAGTATGTGTGATTGGAAACTTATAAAAGATATGACAAAAGATATAAAAATATGAATAAGTATACATATATCTCTTAGTTTATATTTAAATATATAATTATATTGAAGATATAAAATAGCTATAATTCGGTTTTAAACGTAAAAATAATAATTTTAAAAGCGAATAAATAATCAAGGTACTGTTCAAGAAGAAATACATACGGATGATGACTGGATCATTAAATTAGATACTATCGATAAAGATCACAGTAAAACAACTGGTTTATGTAGAAATGAAGCCGAAAAACTTATAAATAATATTAATACGTATATACATTCAAAATCTGAACAGAATTGTCCTGCTGACACACTTAGGGTAAGACTTCGTTATAATTGAATATAAGCCTTAAAATTAGTAGTACCAAACTATTTAAATAACATTAATAGCAATAAGTAATCAATTAACAATGACTATAAATGTGTGAACAAAGTAGATTATTGAAAATAATTTCTTAAAAATATTCAATGCAAATTGATTATTTTTGATTCTTAGAAAATTTTTACACGTAAATTAAATTGAATTTCTTTTCTTCTTTCTTAAATTATTTTCTATCTATTTTTTTTATTACAACATTATAAGCAAAAAAAAAAGAAATATTAGAAAATGATGACTTAATTGTTAGTATTATTTTATAGCGTTTAATATAATGGATTAAAGGTATCAGATTGTTTAAAGCAAAATAAGGGAAATACATTAACTTGTGACATAGAGGTAGAAAATTTTAAGCAATGTATCGACAAGTTATTGGAAGAAGCTGTTTATAAAAGCATTAAAGAAGTACGAAAAAGCAAGAAAGAAAGCTACACGGAAAAATTTGAGCAAAAATGTTCATTTTGATTATTGTTATATAAGTATAGAAACTAAAACATTGTACGTCGAACATTTTGAAATTTACTAGAAAATTTTCAATGAAATTAAAATGTGTCATAAATTAATGAATAATAATAACGTAATAAATTCGCTTAAAATATATTTATAGAATGTGCAAGTAAATTACTAATTTTTATACATTTCAGATCGAGATCAAAGTTAATAAATAGAATGATATTTACACCTAAATGGTGGGAAATTTTTTGTTGATTTTTTTTGTCTCACTTTCTAGGGTAATTTCGATGTATTAGAAGATAATGTGTGCGACAAATGAATTCGATCCTATGACGAGAAAAATACATCTCAAGAAACTGAAAAGTTTACACATAAAGTACCATAAACATGGAAAAGTCTTTACTGTCTTCTAATAAAATTATTCAGTTTACAATGAATCATAAGTAAGTAACACCGTCTCTAACAACATGACCACCAAACCAGTCAAAATAACTGGTTTTATTTTTGCAGTTACTGGAAATTTGTAACAAAACTATTTTAGCAAAATTAAGATCGATTAATTATTCGTATTATAAAAGTAGAAACATAATTGCATACTGAATATATTGTATACTTTAGTTATTCTATACACCCTACTAAATTAGAATCTTGATTATACTCGAAACCATAAAAGTAAAAAAATTTCGGACAAAAATCTTTTGGTACTAAAGAAGTTATCATATGATTATATCGATTCTTTTACAGATGGAGTTGCTTAAACATGTGAAGGTAATTTCTGTTCGTGTTCTACTGTTTATTAATTGATAGTAACTCTCAACATGAATATATGTAAATATCTGCAATTCAAAGTGAATCAATATTGATGGGATAATCGTTACCTACATTATCGACCGTTGAGTTAATAGTTTTCCAGTGTAGAACAGTTTTACTCAAAACATATATCGAGTGTACATCATTCTAATCAAATTCATATTCAATATTCATATTCAATAGGTCCTCGAGATCCAAAAATCACTATTGGTGCAACATACTTGACAGCATCGTTGCAAGCCTACGGTTTATTACAATAACAAATAATACAAGATGTAATTGTTGAAAAATCAGCATAAAATTCAAAATGCAATAACCAAAAGTGCTTGATACAGCAACATTGTCATCTGATATATTCTGCAATTTTTCGGCCGACGTGCTCGCATGCTGTCACGTCCTTCAAACTACCTTCAAATAACTTCATTAATTTTAGGAGTTCTCATGTAAGGATTCAGAAATGCATTTTTGAAACTATATCTTTTAAAAATATGCAAAAAAGAAATTGATTTTTTCAAAATTTTACACTAGAATACTCCCTTAATTTTAAATCTGAATAACTGCATATGCAGTGTCTATCTCGGTCTTTGATCCTTTGGTGTAGATGTCAGTGTAGTTTTTATAGTAATCGAGACAGCCATCTAACATTGGTCTGTTCTAAGTATGGCATTCTCCGAAACAACATAAATTGGAACTTTCCCAACTTGGGTCTTTTGGCATCAATCCCACTATTGTTTTTAAATAATTGCTTTCTATTTCTTACCATTCGTCTTTGTAATTTCCTTTTTGCAACACAATTTTGTTTATAGTAGAAAGTTCGTGAATTTTAATATCCAACATATCACACAATTTGTAGTACTCTAACTGTCTCATGGAAAACTTCTTTTTCAATGCATCATTTTGTATTTATCTGGTTATCACACATTGTAAATTATTCTATAAATTACATTTATTCCCTTAAGCACAGAAATATGTTATAAAAATTGGCCCAAAATTCTCGAATTCTTTTAGTATCAATTTAGTTGTTATTTCTTTTTTTTTTTTTTAGAAAATTTCACAATGTATTTAATAGAGATTACGATTTCTGATTACAATTTTTGAGTTATGCAATCCAAAATTGTACAAAAATCGTATCAAATAAAACTTGAAGTATAAAAAATTTATATCGCTAGATCTATAAGATCTATATCTTAACGGAGAATCATAGTCTCTCTCTCTCTCTTCATCTCCAGGTTTGACAGAAAAAACTGATACTGGAAATTAATGGCTCTCTTATGAGTACACAATTATGCAAAGTTTAAAAAAAAACTTTAAAGTGGATGATTTTGTACAATTTTTGAGCAGATTCATTTATAAAATTAATTCTGATGTATCTTAACGTAAATCATTGGAAGTCAGTCCTTTTATGTTAAATGTTTTATACGTATAGACTAACGTTGAATTATATAAGTGTGATATGCACTGCACACAGTCTAGCTAGGCATGTAATTGGGTATGTAGCCACAAGTACTTTCGTTCACCTATAAATAGATTCTACTCTGGAATTTAACTTCCTCTCAAGCAAATTGGTGGACGGTTAGTTAGAATATATCTCCCTGCAAAGGCGGACGGTTATTGTTTTAAATAACAAAAGAGTTCATCGTTTGGTGCGTTATAAAATTTTTAACTTGCTTCTCCAATTGGACATATTTTAATGAACAAATATATTAGAAACTAGCTTGTAGCGTAAGCTATTTTTAAAAAATAAGTAATGTTTGATTATAGATAAACTTTAATTACTCTAATTATTTATTTAACTGTTCATTTGATTTCGTCTCTTACAAGTGGAGACATTCGATATTATGGAGGATTAACACTAGATTTACGGAACCAATCAATTATACGATGGTAACAGATTTAGTTAACTTATATTAAGACTGTTAATATAATATATAATTGTTTTTAAATTAAACTAATCGTTAAAAAAATGGCACGTGGTTTCCTTTACCTGTCAATTTGACAAGTGTCCTTAGAAATAGGTATACAGATAGCGTCCGTAAACCTAGTGTTAAAGAAATATATTACAATATCTTTATAACTTTAATTTATGAGAAGGTTTAGAAAAAAAACAATTGGAAACTTTTATTCAATTTTGTAAAAATTAAATGGATTAAGCCACAAGTTAACATTTCTTATGTAATATAACATATTAAAAAATTAGTTGCTGAAAATTGTATAAATCAATAGTGTGCATTATTTTTAGGGCATAAAATTGTAGTAGAGAAGGTAAGTTTTACATTTTCAAAATTATATTCATTTCTTTTTTCCTTAAATGAATTATTTATTTATTTTAGTAATAGTAATTTTCTCATGACTATGTTACTCTTATATACTATAGATACATCATTAAACATTATGACAGAAAAATATATTTTATTCTGTATTTGTATTGTTTGTAACGTTTATTACAAAACAATTTTTAATATCTGCATTATTAAAATTTCGTTGTTTTATTTACAGATATTTATATGTTAACACGTTTCGTCCCGCGTAACCCGTACTTGGGTTACGGGCATGCTTCCGTGGGGCCAGCGTAACCCATATATGGGTTACGCTTTTCTTGTTCAAGTTAAATAAGATTTTCAGTTGCATTTTGAAAACAAATTTAATGGAACAAGTTCTGAAGTATAAATATAGAATATACAACATAAAAATATAAAAAATACACAAATTACACTCTACTTTTTATTAATTTATATAGGATAACATATTACATTATACTATGTCGCATGATATTCGTTGAAACAGTCCAAGCACACCAAGTCGTCCCCTCCACGGAACCATTGTCTCGTCGACAACAATTTCTTTGCCTGGTGAAAAAACCTTCTGATAATTAACCATCAATATGTCTACAAGTGGTAAAACTTTTCCAAGTTTGTTATTTTGTACTATTGTTTCATTATTAGCAAAATGCAAGTTTGATAGCAGTAATTCAAAACGATTGCGGGACATTGTGCTGCGCGGCAATGAAAAATTGTATATCCATTGGATATTGTCCAATGAATCATTAGCTGTGTTCAATTTCTCTTCTTCGTCTAAAACCAGTTCTTCTAGTAATTCTTCAATATCTTCACTTGCATATGATTCATCAGTATCCGAGCCTGAACACGACGAAATTCTATTTCTAACTTTTCTTCTAAAACTCACAACGTTTTCATCACTACTCTCACTTTCAGTTGTACTTTCACGCCGTCCAATGAACATTTTGGGGATAAAAAATTACTGATGTGCGTTTCAGAAAAAGTATGCTTCTCAACTGAATGATCTAGGATACCTGCAGTGAGATCCCTTACAGATCTGGAAAGCGATAAGCGTTTCAAAATCCAAAATAAACTACTTACCAATAAGATTATTTCGGAACAAAACAATGTATCAATTTCATAGGTCGATGGCACTGTAAATGTAGATAATTGACAATGCAGGGACCTACTCGAGTTACATTATTGGTATTCCCGCATATCTCTCCGCTACCGTTCTAGTGCGCCGACAGTGAAACTTGGGCCGGCAGGAAACTCAACGGAATCACGCTTGGTACGGAACGTGTTAATTATTATACTTGGTATTAATAGAAATCGATAAGATTGAAAAGTAATAAATAAATTAATAGAATAAATTAATAGAATCAAAAAATTATAAGAAATAATACACATTCATGAAATTGAGAAATAATAAAGACTAGTAAAATGAAACAAATTCAATCAAAATTAAAAACTAATACGTAAGTAAAAATTAAAAAATTAGAAAATGAAAATATACTGTAAGTTTTAATTACAGTAATACTTTATATATACGTACATAGTATATATAATTTAGTCAAATTGTTCTAAAAATAAAATACCTCTTACTTCTTTATGTGATAATAGTTAAAAATAAGTTATAATGAATTAGTTATGTAAAAATTGTTCTACTTATTGTAGCAAAATTTGATCTCTCAATCACCATAAGTTTCAAATAAATATTGCTATAGGAAATTCATGAACAAGTACACTAATATACGCTCTTTGTAAACTTAATTTGAAATTTGTATATAACCTATAAACTAAATACACATATGGCAAAAATTCTTGATCTGTACTACGATACATTTTCATCTTGATGAAGAAATCGAATGCTATCAAACAATGGGGTAAAAAGCAAAAGAACGCATTAGCCAATGTACCAACATTAGCGTATGTTTAATAGCACTTGTAATTTAACTAACGATTTAAATCTTACTCTAAATTCAAAGACATAAAATGAAGTAACATAATATTGTAATAAAATTACTTTCGTTATAACCTATTTCAGTGATGTGTGAAATTTGATACATAAGACTATCGGAAACTTTAGTAATGGAATCTCAAACTACTTGTGCCATTTGTGGGAAAGATTCAACTCACAAGTGTAGTGCCTGTGGAGACGTATATTACTGCAGCAAGCAACACCAAAGACAAGACTGGAAGAAACATGCAAAATTTTGTAAAGCCTATAAGGTTAGCAGTTCTTTTATAGTAATCATCGCTAAATAAATGTATTGTTAAAAAAGTTATATCTTATTTAAGATATAAAATACTAACAGTAAAATATTATAAATAGGTATTATTGTTATTTCTCATGTTACTAAATTAACAAAAATAATAATATTAAACTATTAAAAGCTAGTTAGTACCAATTTAAACTCTTATTAAATATAGAAGGGATTACCTATGAACAAATATTAATCACTTTTAAATTCAGCATACGAATGGTAACATTATTTATTATTTTATAAAATTGTATTATTATTTGTAGTAAACATTGGCACCAATATATAATATTTTTACAAAATGTTTTATGATATTCAGTTGAATGTCTGGTTAGACTATGAGCTAAAAATATTCTACAAATGTTCTTTCAAAGTGTAATATTACGTATGTACTATGAAAGTATAAATGGATTTTCTATCTTTATCTCACAAGCATGGTGGCATTGTTATTTTTTTCAGTCTTAAATTTCTTTATGATCTAAACAAATCTTTTTTTCTGGATCAAAAATTTCACTTGATTATTTGGATTTTGTGTATATATTATTTTATATTATTTTAAATTGCATATTCATTGGATTATTCTTTTATTATAGATAAACTTTCTAATGTAATTGGTTTACAAATTAATATTTCAATAAGACATGAAATATCACTTTGTAGATGAAAAAGTGAAATCTGAAACGTGCTATCATAAAAATAATCTTATTTGTTTGTCTAAAAAACAGAATTAAAAGGGGTAAACTACATAATGTGATTACCTCTGTTCTTTTTATTAGTAATAACTTGATCTATATTTGTTTATTATTAATAATGCTACGGTATTACATTTCTTCTATATCACCCTTAAAATAAATTTTCAAAAACATTTTTCCTTTTTTCTACAGGGTGTTCTAAATCGAGCATTATATACTATTTTTCCAGAAACTAATGAAAATATTAACTTCATTTTTCTTTTATTTAAGTAGTATACAAGGGCTGATGTTTCAGTGAGTTAACAATTTTTTTCTGATAATAGTTAAGAGGAAAAGAGGGGCTGCGTAATTTTTCAATATGGAAGTTAGTATTAATTTTTAATTATTCAGATAATTCTTACTGAACTAAATAAAAATTTCCAATCAAATAATTAGATTAAAAAATAAATTAAATGTCAATTAGAAATTACAAATTTCAGTAAATAAATAAATTAAAACATTTAGGATGTTTCCTTTTGTACCCTCATAGTCAATTTAAGATTTTTTCTATAATTTGTTTAGAAATTCGTTGATTTTCCAGTAATTCGCTGATGGGTCATTATAGTTTTTGGTCGAGACCCTCGATTTAAATTATTCCAAATCTAATTTTCATGTAATGTATATTATTAAAAAACAAAGTTTCCACTATAATCTTGTTAATCAGTTTGAATAATACAGAAAATATCTTTCCCCTTATGTAAAATCAAGATTTTTAATTTCCGATATATCTCGTTGAACATCTTATATACACATAAATATAAGTAACGATGGTTTTAGGAAATAACGATCTGTTCTTTTGTGGAAATAATTTTCCAAATTATTGAGAATTTCGTTACAATTTCCTTTTCTGTTCGTTTCGGTCGGCGTTTATATTTTCGCACGGTCGCAAAATGGGAGAGCAGGCTAATGACTATTGCGATAAGGTGATGACCTAATTCGGGTGATTGACTTGTCAGGAATTCTTTGGTTTAAAAAGTTACTGTCAGTGGTCCAGTTTGTTTATTTTCCGGGCACGGGAGTAAGTGAGAGCATAGACGAAATAAAAGCGACAAGGGAATAACAGAGAGGAGTCTATACGCAATGCGAATTAAGCGCTATACTGTAATATAATAAACGACTATGGTCTGCTGGTTGCTAATCTTACACTAACTCTATACGGTTCTGCCGCTATATATATGCAAGGTATCCCAGCAACGGTAGTACCACCACAAAGGAGACGATTCTACATGCAGAAACAAATCGAAAAAAAAGAATAAAATTTTTTTATTCGAAGCTTCGTTGTCGAGAAAATCCATTTCGAATATTCACCGAGTACGCGTGCACTTAACTTTGGCTAAGGCGGATGGATATCAGTAGCATCAGTATATCAGCTTGGTGGGTATTCAAAGTCGATGTTTTTGACAACGAGGCCTCAAATGAAAAAATGTTATTCTTTATTTTCCGTTTATTCTCCCATCTAGAATTACCCCCTCCTCAGCTGTACACCACCGATACTAATGTCTAGATGGTCCATAATCCAGCCAATGCTAAGTGCACGTGTATTCGGTGAATATTCAAAGTCGATTTTCTTGAATGGAAAAATTGTATTCTTCATTTTCGATTTGTTTTTTCATGTAGAATTATCTCCTTCCCGGTTATATTATCATTGGGCACCCTGTATATAAATAACTATAATTTACTATCAATTTTTTTATAATTTAGTAGAAAATATTTAAACCATTCTATATATTGTATAAATTATTATTTTAATTTTATATCAATAACACTAATAACAATAATACTAATAATAAAAAGAAATTCACAATTGATTGCATATGTTACTTTGAAGTTAGCAGAAGATTCTGTATTGGGCCGCCATTACATAGCCACAAGAAATATAAAAGTTGGAGAAGTTATCCTGAAGGATGATGAACCTCTGCTAAAAGGTCCTGTGCACAATTGTGTTCCTGTATGCCTTGAATGTTACACTGAATTGCACGAGAGCACTGCAGTACCTTGTACAAAATGTGGCTGGCCACTTTGTCAGAATTGTGAGGAACATGGATTGGAATGTAATTTTTCTTCTTCTCGCAAAGACTGTAAGGTAATTATTACCACGTTCATATAACCACATTCATGTCTTATCAAAATATAGAAAACACTTTTTTAGTACACTTAGACATTTGAAGTAAACAAAAATTTTATTTTTATTTTCTTGATTACTAGAAATTTATAACTTATAATAAATGTTACTTACTTACTTATTTATAAGTTTGTAAATTTTAAATCTTTTATCTAAGGCTTCCTACCTACATACAAAATATCTGTCGAAAAACGAAGTCACAAAAAAAAGTTTGTCATTAAATTTAGGAATTTTGTTATAAACAGTAATTAAATGTTATTTATCGTTTAAAAGCTCCGACTGGATTTTAGTTAATGGTTATTTCTGCCAACCACCTTTATCCGTGAATCCATGACAAATATTTAGGTATTAACAATGGAGATTTATAAAGATGTCAAATTATCAAAATTCACTTAGTCAAGTACGTAATATTACAGGTATCTATAAGTGAATTTGGCTATCCACATCCAAGTTATCAATGTATAAGTATCATAAGAGCGTTATCATTGAGGGACACTAATCCGGAGTCTTATAAAAAATTATTATCCCTCGAAAGTCATTGCAGTCAAATAACATCCAAAGAATCATTAAACACCGTTCGTTTTATCAAAAGATTTTTTAAAACAGATGACATAATGGAAGAAGAAATTATAAATATCATGGGCATCTTGCAGGTAGAAATTTAGTAAATTAATATTTTATAATTTCGTTCTACATATTAAAATGGATAAAAATCAAATGTCTTTGATAGATATTACCAAAGAGTATATTTGAATGACACAAGTAATCATTTTTAAATAAATATTGTGAGTACCTCACAAGAAGTTACTCCACCTAACTCGAACTTTAATGGTCTCGAAATCCTTACTTTTACGTTCTTGGTGGTATACAGCCAATCATAGAAGTATCTATGTATACTGTACTTCTAATTGCCGACTTAGAATGACTATTATTCTTTTACAAGTTTTAAAATTCTTACCAAAGGAAATAAGTCTCCCATTAATTAATCTTTTTACGAGTACGCATTTCGGTAGTCTTAAAACGACTTTTCATTTAATTCACTAGCGCCACCACGGCTCATATCTACGATAAATGTTTATCGTAAATATCGTATATATTGTTGAATTACTTTCTAATCTTATTAATATGATCTTGGAATCTTCTTCTTGCTATTTTGAATTAGTTTTATAATAAAAATAAACATCAAAAAGGTATGGACACATTATTAAATTTATTTTGTCTGTTAGACAATCAAGAAGTGAGAAATATAAATAACAGAACAAATCAAGAACAAATAAATTGTAGGTCAATGGACACGAAGTTCCACTCACTGAACCACCACATTTAGCAGTTTATGAACTGGCATCATTACTGGAACATAACTGTAGAGCAAATTGTTCAAAAAGTTTTACTATCATAGGGGGACTGATCATTCATGCTGCAGTACCTATTGCAAAAGGTACATATCTATACTTCCATAAATATTCATCGCACACTTTTCATCGAATATAATTAATGCTGAATATAAAATAATATGTTGAACCTAATTTATTAGATATCGCTTCAAATAAAATTCAGATAGTATTAAATAAAAAAAAAAAATATTTTAGGAGACCACATTTCTATATGTTATACGGATTCATTATGGGGTACTGCAAATAGAAGACATCACCTTTTCGAAACAAAATTTTTTGAATGTACTTGTGATCGATGTAAGGATCCAACGGAATTTGACACTATGTTTAACGCTCTAAAATGCAAAGAAATGTAAGTTAAAATAAGAAAATAACTTTCTTTATATACAACATTTTCTCCATTTTAAATATAACAAAATATTGATAGAACTAATAAAATTCTAAGGAGAACATAATGATCGTGTAACGATTGTTTCTGCGTGATGGAGATATAGGAAAAATTTCAAAGTATTTTGAATATGAAATGTTTCATAGGACATTCTATATTTCATTTTATCTATTATAGCTTGTAATTGATTAACTCTTTGCATTCGAGAGGCGATCTACAGTCACTGTTTAATAAATTTTGGAGATCGATATTAATTAATATCTCAAATTTAAGGTAATGTAACAATGTGTGAGGTGTCGAAATCAAATAATTCTACGTGCTAATTATTATACGATTTTTTATTTACTGGCGAAAAAAATATCGTCAGCTTTATAGCAGAGAATCTTTGAATTTCTACTCTTTTCTAGACAAAAGATCGTCAAGTGCAAAGAGTTAATACGAGTTGGAAATTATTGTAGACATTAGCATTAAATGTAGCGACTTATTGGCAACCATCTACCTAAAGAGTATTGTTAGCATGATTTATGGATGCGTTTACAAAGAAAAGCACTATCCTTTAATTCCATGTTTGCATTTATCAGGATACATTTGTCGAGAAAAATTAACACCCTTTTATTTTTATTGGCTATAATATAAATGTATGAAAAATAAAATTGTTTTGGAAAAGTTTTCGAAAGATATGAGATAGTTTATCTTCTAATGTGACAATTAAGTGTTTGAAGAGATAAACATGAAGAAAATCTTACATTAATAGCAAGTTTTCGTAGAATTCGATTTAGGTACCACCACTCTTCGTTCAGGAAAAGACAGATTAAAATCTTATTCGTGCTCTCGACAATTTCATTCCAATTTCCCAAGACTTAAAAATTATTAATACATCTTGCGCAGGAAGCGACTAAAGTCGTTTTGCACGGATTATTATTATCGATAGGCTTTTGTAGCGTTTTTACAATAAAATCGGATACACATGAGTGTTAATTGTACTTCATAGCTAGGAACGTTTATTTAGCCCGCTATGCGGTGAGAGTTTGGCGGCAAAGTACCCGCGCAAGATGTGTTAATAATAACTACGAGGATTATCAGATAACTGTGATTGTATATACATAATTATATGTAAATATACATGTACTGTGCATTCGAGAAAAGAAGGTGATTCAAGGCGATCTACCGATGATCTTCGTCACCGTTTTCGGCCAATAACGGTCACTGTCTATGATCAAGGGTGTGTCAGCGGAGTTACTCAACCGTGAAGATTTAAACGCGCAGTGCCTTCTTTTCTCGAACGCACAGTACATACTGAATTTTAACACTATAAACTTTGTCAATAACTTTAAATTAAACTACTAAAAAATTAGTTATATGCCATGAAAAATTAAAATACAGCTTGTTTTTTAGTATCATATAGTAATTATTTTACAACTCATAGAAGAATAAGATTATTTATTTACTTATTTACAGGAATTGTTCAGGATATATATTACCAAAAACTTTCCTTGAACAGGAACAAGATTACATATGCAAAACTTGTGAATCAAATGTTCCCTATGTAAAGGTAGAAAAGACGTTAGAAGACATTGGTATATGTCTTTCAAGCATAACAAAAAATGACATTGCTGCATGTAAAAAATTTCTAGACAGTTATAAAGATATTCTACACTCAAATCACTATTATAATATCGACGTGATAGTTGCCCTGGCTCAGTTGATTGGTCATCAAACTGGAGGATTGACAGTGGTCCGAGAAGATCTTCTCACTGAGAAAATAGAATTATGCAGAAAGCTCAATAAATTACTCACGTTACTCGTTCCTGGTATTTGAAACATGATAAACTTTATTTGAATGATTATGACCATGTATTGTACGTTGCTGGTAAGTTACACTAGGTTACAAAAATATTCGGTCACCGATATAGATTCAATTATTATGCTCTCTATCTTAAGTGAACAAAGAACAGAAAAATATATTGCAAGAGTGTCAGTGTTTCCGAGTTATTTTAAAGAGAAATGATAGTATGAGCATCGGTCAACTGAGACTCTTCCGAGCGACTACTCGGACTTGATCTTGTAAAAAACTCAATTTGGTTGATTTATCAGAGAGAATGGTTCAACCTCGACGTCGCAGATGGGGCACAAAACCGAAGGTATCTCTAAACCGAATTTCGATCTGAAGAAATTCTGAGAATTAGAAGGTTCTCAGATACATCGTCTGATAGCGGAGGAATAGGAATATAAACAGACTTTGAAACGCTTTATCGCCAAGAGAGGAATATGCAAAAATATTAATTCATAGTGCCATTCATCAATATTTTTTTTTTATCGTATATTAAATAATTAGTATTGATCCTATGCCTACATTAGAACTTTATCACTTTATCCCACTCAATCTTGATGTATCTTATTGTCTTCTCTTTATTATGTCATATTATATCATTATCTGATTTGTAGAAATACTTTCAACCAATAATAGCAATTTGTGTGCTCCATCTTTACAATTGTGTTAGAGAAAATAGGTCTATTACACTAAGGTCAATCAGGCCTCTATTACATCCACCTGCTAACTTACCAACAACACACAATTGTATATTTGTATTTAATTGTATGTACAATCACATTTTTTTCATACATTCACGATTCCATATTTTGTGGACATGATTTAAATGAACAGAATTAAATACCAGAACTAATTTTATAATGAAATGCAGAAAATGTATTTTTATAATACTGTATAATATTTTTAAATGACTAACTGATTCTAATATCTTCTTTACTATGCGATGTGTGAGTAATCGACTAATGCAACTCATTTATTAAAAAAAAAAAATACTATTATAGAATTACACTCTTAAACCATGAGTTTAAATACATTTATTGTATACATAGTTAGTCAGTAAATACCCAATATTTCATAAACTAATTTATGCCACTTTGTTTCAGCTGAGAATCGAATTCGAGGTCTGATTCTTTTTGATTTATATGCAGCACTGGTAGAATTTAACAAAAGGCATACAACTGAAGCTACATCGATGCTATTATTGGTAAAATGAGATAGTGAACTTAACATATATTTAAGTAACATAGCAAGATATAATATGCAATATAACATGACATAATGTGACACAGATATATCATTCAAGCAAATTACATTTTTATTAAAATATATTATTCAAGTAATGTAATATAACAAAAAGTACCACCAAAGTAACAACAGTAGAATAATGTTATTAATTCACTATATATAAATTATTATCTAAAATTATGTAGTTTAATACTAATTAGTCTAATGTTAATAGTTTAATGCTAAGAACCTAAGAAATATGACATATGTAATGTGGAAATCATGATCAAGCATTTTCTAATCAATTGTTAGATATACTTAAACCAAAGAAAACAAAACATCACAAACAAAAATGTTCAATAACCATTGCATAAAAAGGAAGCTATTAAATCCTTTATGAAATTTCTAAGGGACATTAAATTAATTCATGAAATATGGTCCAAACAATTAACACAATTTATACTATATTGTAATTGTATAAACTGTACAACTTATCTATTCTTATAGTCACTAATAACCCACTAAGGTAGATGTGATATTAAATAAATTTTTTTTTAAGTTAATGAATATGATCTATTGAATAATTAGAGCTTACACTGTTATTATATTTGTGTTCCATACATAATTTAAAAAAACAAAAAAGCATTCCAATTGTTCATCATATTACTCATTTTAAATAATATTTTAAATACTACAAGACATTATTTAATACATTTGTCACATAAGCAATACATTTATATATCAACTTTTCAATTTTTAAGGTCTCTTTTAATTTGGCAACTTATTGTTAGTCATATTACAAACAAAAATATTATTATTTACTCATTGTTTACTTCATTAAATATTTTAATTTTTTATTTCTTATTTCAGCAAGAATCAAGGAAATATTTAATAGATGCCTACCAATTGCTAAAATATGAACCAACAATCTTACCAGAAGGAAAAATAGCTCGATATGTTGAGAAAATACTTTTTTCAACAAATATGCTTTTGGAGCAAATATTACAATAAATAGAAAAGTGTAAAAAATGTTTGTAATAAAATAAACATATCGAAATAAATTTACCAGAATATTTTTAATAACTATACAAAATATTATTACTATACCAAATATCTTTTAAAAAAATTGGTATACTTCTTATAGATCATACTAATTTGGTTTATATTAAATGATTTATAATAACTAGATTCAGAATTTTCTAAATAGGATATTTCTTTCTTTTTAAATTCAAACTTTCTTCTTGCCATACGACCCACATTGTATACTTAAACAATATACAGATATATTTTGTATTTCAGCTATATACAGATAATTCCAAATTTTGTTCCTAAATCACATATTATAATACACTAATCAGTAAGTTATAAAAGCTAAACATTCTGTAATGTTTATTAATAAGAATATATTATAATATAATAATAACTTAGCTTTTAATTGATGCAATATACTAGGATATAGTAATTCGGTATGATATAAATTGAAATTTATATTTTATTAACAATATAAATGACAATGTATAATAAATAAATTAACACAGATATATCATATTTGTACATATACTACTTACGCTAAATAAATTATAAATATATTGTCACATTATATTTTATAACCTCTGACACTAATGATAATTTTTTATTAATTTGTTATACTATGAAAATTTTACACATTTTGACTATCATTATATTATACTTTATTATATTATATTAATATATTGTATTTTCATAATACAATTTTTTGTTAAATATTTTATAATTTCTTAATTTCATAATTGCTTATATTCTCTTCATTTTTTCCATAAATCTTTAATGATTTATATCAAACATATAAGCTAAGACTTTGTAGTCAAAAATGTAGAGTATTACATATCAGTTATTTCATAATGTGATTAATAAATATAAGATTGTTCTGTTAAAAATCAGAACTATTGATTAACTGTAATATAAAGGCACTTGATATAAAATTAATTATTACATAAGCATTAATTCCTTGCTACTTTAAGATCTGTGTTATCTAACAATAATTAACCAAGAACTTATTTATTACATAATCTACTTTTATAAATAAACGTTGCAGAATGTATATTGTTAAAAAAATTTTAAATAATTTAATTTAATAATTGTAAGGGTAGAACGCATAAATAGATTTCTAACTTACGGTACATGCATTAAAGCAACATTCACGTAATAATGTAATAATACAATGCACTTGTATTTTCAGTCTACAATAATACAATGTCTGAGACGATGTTGAAAATTTACCTATATCATATGTTGTCTATTTTAGATGTATTTTGTCTTCACAATTTTTCAAACATAGTTTCTGAGTTCACTTAAAAGAACACATTGTTTTATTAATTATCTGAAATACTATTGTAAAAAAACTGATAGAAATAGTTAGATAAAATTCAGCGTTTTCTTATAATGGTGTCATACACAAAACTACGAATCAAAGTGAAATAATTAGTGTAAAAAACATTTTAAAGAATCTTTTCGAACCAATTTTATTACAATAAATATATTAAATATTATAAACGTTTTAATTTTTAAATAATAAATTAATGATATACTAAATATAGGCACATAAATTTAACTATTAATTTTATTAAATAGTTTAAAATAATTTACACTTAAATTAATTTTGAAATTAAATTTTATTTTTTTTGACAATATTATGTCTCATAATTCTCAAATAAATTACAATTTTACTCAAGTCGGTAAAAAAGATAAAAAATCTAGTTTTGATACTGTTTTAATTGAAAAGTGGGAAAAAGCCAAAGAAAATGGAGTGTTTCGCTATGTATTAAATATTCAAGATTCAAAAATGTTGGATGGCAAATATCACTTTTTAATCCAGGTATTATATATTTTAATATTTAAAATCTTATATTATTTAAATTTAAAAATTAAATAATTCTATTTTTAATTTAAGGATAATATAAATGATAGTATAAAAAATTAATTTAGGGATAGATAATAAAGGATTAATTCACTAAATGTTGTAAAATTATTATTTTCATAAATTTATCTATAAATGTGTAAACTTTAAAATATTATTACAAGCAGAAAAATTAATAAATAAAAAAATATAATTAGATTCACTTATTCATATCATTTACATGAAAAATTATAGGTCGTAGAGAAAGATTGTGATGTATTATATGAACTATTTTGTCTTTCAACAAAGCAAGTTTTAGATAGATGAAATTCTAGTGTACTTAAAAAATATCTTCTAAGTATTATTCAAATCTTTTTTATTGCTAATATTTTTATACGAAGAATTTAGTGTTAAATTTAATTAAATTTATAATTAAAAATTAAAAATTTAGTAATAAATGTAGAAATTTATTATTAATTTCAGTTGAATATTGATCGTGGTCAGAAAAGGAGATCTCCAGAAAATATTATATCAATGAATCAACCTTTTAATGAAAATAATTTTAACTTTACAAAACTTAAGCCAGGAGAACAAATAATAGATTTAAATAAAGATGAAGATGATATAATTGCAGTTAATGTTAGTCCATTAGAATATTGTCATTCTTTGTTATTGCCACAAAGAGATAAACAACTACCTCAAGCTATAACTAAATATAGCTTATTTAAAGCTATTGAATTGTTCTCATTAAGTTCTTCTTTGTAAGTACATTCAAATTTTGAAGTAAAAAGGAAGAGAAATTAAATGCATAATTCATAAATACATATTTTAATTGTCAATTATAGTGTTATAGAAAATTTTATTAAAGTAATCCCCTAATGAAAAGATCATTTTATAAATATGATCAGTGTATTAAAACAATATTACTTTATTAATGTATTTTGAACAAAGAAATGATTTTTATTACTGTCTCATTTTATCTGTGGAAATGTTTCTTTTAATTTTGTATTATAAAATTTCAAAAAATTTGAATTTGTGTAATGTATAATACTATAGTGTATATCACTTATTCTTCTTTTCTAATTCAGTCTTTTAATAGACTTTGTCAGTGTCAATGTTTGCTTCATATTAAGAAAATAATATACTTTTATTGCCCTACTAAAGAGTTACTGTATGTATGTATGTTTAATAAATAAGGTATTAATGTTCAAATAAGAAAGAATATGACATGTGAAATGACTTAATATTTTGTTATACTTACAGTATAATCATATTTTTAATGTAATTTAATAAATACTTAAGTGTTCTAAATAAATCTGAATTTTATTCACAAAATTTAAGAAATATTTTACATAAATAAATAAGTATATATTAAAGAATAAAGATTTAATAATATAATGTTTTCAGGTATCTCAGAGTGGTTTTTAATAGTCTTTGTGCTCATGCATCTGTGAACCACTTACACTGGCATCTATACTATTTAAATTGGAAGATGTTATTGGAATATATTGTAAATAAATTTGCATTTTTTCTTTTATGTCATAAAATGATATATCAATTTTATAGACACAAAACTATATACATACATCACATACTACACATATATAATATGCAAATTCGATAAATTAAAAAATATTTTAAAAAATATTA